TAGACAACAGTGGGCCATACAGACAATAGATGCCTGTGTGAGCCCCAAGGGTCGGTTGTTGGGGTCTTTTATAAGGCAGAGTCACAAATTACCCGATCAGCTTGTGCACAAGTCTCTGACTGGTTGTAGGTGAGGTATTAGTTTGTTAGGGCAAACATGCCCACTAAAGAATGTACTTTATCTGTTGAGGATCACAGGCAGACATCTTGTTGCGGAGTCCAAACTTGTTCTGCTCGCACCCCGACAGGCCAATAAATCTGGAGACAAGGGGCAAGGAATGGAGACTTTATTCAGAAAGCCAGCAGACCGAGAGGATGGCAGACTAATGTCTTGGAGAACCATTCTGCTCTAGTCAGAATACAGTCTCCTTTTATACAAAAAATAAGGGAGGGAGAGGGAAAATAAGGGAGGGGATGTAGTTGATTGTTGTAATCTTTTTGCTGCAGGCATTCTTTGTTCTTGCAGCCATCCCCGTGGGCTAGGTCATGGTTTCCTGTAAACCTCCAACAAAACAAAGGTTATTCTCTACTACAATCAGAGAGCCCAGGAATAGGGGTCGTTTGACTTTGAAGGACGCCATTTGGCCCCACATGCATATTCCAGGTTCTTTCCAGGGCCATTTGCTTTAAAGGATGTTCTGTCTCTTCCTCATGGGGATTTCAATTCCAAGCTTCTGTTCATCCCAGCTAAAGGACCTGAGTGATTTTTTTCTTTTCATCGAACATTAGGGGAAAATGCCAGTGGCCAATGATTGGCCTGTTTCCTTTTCCCTGCCCAATTGAATCACTGTGGTCCAGAGGAATCATGGGGGACTGGGTCACATGCTCATCCTGTGGCCGATTGCTATTTATCCTTAGCAAAATATTTTACATATCCAACTCCTTAGCATGTCTATTGCTACAAACCTAATCCAAGCCTTTCATATACCTCATCCGAACAATTGGGACAGCCTCCTTCCTTGCTCCACTCTGGCCTTTCCATGGTTCATTTCCACCCTGGCTGGCACCAGAACAATTCTTTTAAACTACCCATCTGGTCATTCCTGTCTTAAACCCTTCAAGAACTAACAGGCCAATTAGAATAAATTAGAATAACTATTTGCCCTCTCCTACACTCTCCCCTCACTATTCTCCAGAGGCATGAGTTTTCTTTCTGTCAGAGACTTCTGCCAGAGCCAGCTTCCTGGGGCACAAATCCTATTTTCATCACTTTTAGTTCTGTGACCTTGGACAAGTTACCTAACTTCTCTAGGCCTCAGTTTCCTAATCAGTAGAGGGATTAACAAGAAGCCCAGCCTTTAGCATTGTTGTGAGGGTTAAATGAGATAATTCTCGCTGATTGTTTAGCTCTGGGCCTTGCTTGTAGATTGTGCTATTTGTTTCCAATTAGTGACATCATCTATTATTTTTGGTGACATGTGACTTTGGCTGTTTACTTAACATACTCTATCATGTTGTAAACATCTTTTTAATCCCAGTTTTTTAAATACTTTAAACATATTTAGGAAGAAGTATTGCATTTTGACTAGTCTTTCTTTTAGTAATGAAATGATTGTTTCTGAGACAGGAGGGAAGGGGAAAGGGCACAGCCATTAAAGGAATGACAAAGCAATTAAACATTTTGACTCCCAGTAGACCTTGAGGCTCAAGATTGTGGGAGATTTGACTTCCAGTAGACCCTGACTTTCATTATATGCTCATTGAACTGCATTAGCATGATAAATGACACACCTACAGGCTCCATGACAGTTCTGAGGCTAACCATAAAAGGTCAAAAAGTGGGTCATGGCCCAACTCCTGGGAATTCCTGCCCCTTCCCCAAAGTGGTTGGAATAATCCTCCTACTTGTTAGCATATGAAGTTATGGAGCCCATAAAAACTAACAACTTGGCACCTCACGTTCACTCTCTCTTGCCTTCTGAGATAGCCTGCATTCTGTGTATGGAGTGTGTCTCTGAATAAATCTACCTTCACTCTACAATGGCTTGCTCTTGAATTTTTTCCTGTGTGAAGCCAAGTTCCCTCACTTGATGGGGCACATCCCAGGAACTCGCCTGGGACCCAGGACATGTCCATCCTCTCTCGCCCCATTTTCCCTGTATCAGTATTACTTATAGTTTGATAGAAGAAAGCATCATGGAGTGCCCACCCCCCTCACCCATTTGTGTAAGTTACCTCTCTCCTTCCCATCCTCCAGCTAACCCTCCCACTGTTGCAAATTTTGTGGACTGGCTGTATACAGAAAGATCTTAATTGGTGCTGGGGTGCCTCAAAAAGCAATAGTAGTATGGAGATACATTACAATTTAAATCTGGTTAGCATAATAGGATAATATCAATTATGACTATACTTCCCACTTCCCCTCCAATAGCCCTCCTCAAATTTCAGCTTTCCAGTCCTCAACCCATCCTATCCCTATCTGGGGTTCCTTAATAATATACTTCCTCATCCAAACTTGGCTTGAATCATACCCTCTACTCATTTTTCACATCTGCCTCTGCCTCTCCTATAGTGTCCCTCCAAGGAATACATTTTGTACGTAATATTCTTCCCTTCCCAGTTTTCTTGCTCTAAATGG